ATTTCACAATATTGCCTATCCAAACGAAATAAAATATAATAAAATAATTAAAATTCTGATGGATGCTGTAAATTTTTTGTCAAGAAACTCTTGTATTGAGTAGTAGTTTTTTTTGAATCAACATTTTGTTTAAATTATTTTCAATTTTTTTTTGTTTGTATCCTTCAACTCTTCCATCTCACATATTTCGTTACATAATTTTATTCCCATATAATGTAGATTTTCTTGTCCTTTTGGTGATCTCGAGAAGGATTGATTGATCATGTCTTTGTACGGAGTGTTATATATAGTAGTGGAGATAATAATTTTTATACATAATATGTACAATTGTAGAAAAATATATAGGCGAAGTAATGTCATTATGCCAAGATTGACAGTGATTCCTACATGGAGTTGTGTTTGATATGTTAGTCAGACAGTGTAAAGTTTTTTTTGTGTGGTGAAAAGTTAATCAAAGCCGTGTGCTTGACCCCAGAATATAAGACCATATGAGAGATTCGATTGTATAAGTCCAAAATATAGTAGTTTGAGGATAATTCACTATTCAAAAACAATACTATACAGTGGGTTACGTAAAACATAAGGAAACAATGAAAACTCTGATTCAAACTCAATAGAAAAAAATATTTGTTATTTGAAAACTTTTTTTATTTCATTATTAAAATGACCTGCTTTTATTACCCGTTTTTGTTATTTATTTTCACCTGTTCTGTTATTCAACTCATATACATTAATAGTATTTTTCAAAGAACATAATCTGATTCAATTTGAGCGATTATCAGTCGAAACAAAAGTATAGCGTAGTACACTGGACCTACCAAGTAATAAAAAATCTAGGCAATAGTTCATACTACTCCAGTGGACGATGTAGAAGATTTGAGAAGTCGGATAATTGCTGGGTGTAACGCAATCAGGAACGATCCTGGTGTTTTTGAAAGAGTTCGGGAGTCGATGAGGAGATTGGATTCTTGCATTCAACAGTTGTTATTGTCGAAATTATTTTTCCCCCCGTATTTTCGAAACAAAGCGCCCTATCAAAAGTCACCAAAGGACAAACTATCCTTAGAATAGTTCAAGGAATAGTCCCTAAAATTGTTGCGGCATGTTTAATAAACACCCTGTATAAACAATAAAGTCATACCTGCCAGTGTTCCGAAACCGTCGTAAAATTTATCTCTTTTATTTCATCAGTTAATATCTTTATAGTCATTGGTCTTTTAGTTAGTACTATTTTGACTTGTTTTTGTAAAACGTTCATTACCTACAGAAACAGATGGTTTTTAATATGATATACATGGTTATTCAGCTGAAACCTCAAAATTTACGCTTAATAGAATGCATTTACTTTTGAATAATCTTCTATTGTTGAAACCTTCATTTCTCTTCTCGTTTTGGATAACAACCACATAGTTCTAGAAAAGAGTTCTAGGAAAAATGGCTGTCTTGGGGAAGTATTGAATACAATTGGTTGATAAAATACACTTTTAGAGTCCGGTGGATCTAACCCAATATCTAATAATTTAGCGAGCATTTTAACTACCCTGAAATGATGAAAACATTCTATTCGATATTTTAATATATCCATTTTTTATACCTTTCACTTGTAACGAATATTCCTGGTTCATAAACTTTTTCTTCAATTTGAGACTGATAAAAGTTTTTTTTATGGGTGGATTTAAAGTGTCCTGAAATATTCAAAAACAGAGATTATACATTTACATTTGTGTCGTTTTTATATTAGGTTGTTTCAAAAGTTTTGTCCGTTTAATTGTCATATGCTTTTGTAGCTCCATAACTCAATAAATATTTTTTCTACTGTGTCATGGTATATACTGATTGATTAGGAAATTTGTACTCTATGTATTGGTGCTGTTCCTTTTTTCAGTTATATTATGTTTTCTTTACGAATTCAAATTGAACCAAAGCGCTGCCGAAACAATCCGAAAAATTATAAGGTATTTGGCAATGATAGTGTTAATTAACGCACTGTTCGACGTTGGTTTGCAAAATTTCGTTCCGGAGATTTTAGCATCGAAGATGAGCCCCGAAGTAGACAATGTACACTATTTAGGTAATCATAACATACTATGCGAATCTCAATATGGATTCATAAGCCATAAAAACACAGGCGATGCAATCTTCTCTTTTCTGGAAGATGTATATGTTGGTTTAAAAAATAAAGAATCTATTGGGACAGTGTTAGGAATCACACGTTACAAGGTAAGACCTCGTTAGTCCTTAGCTCGCACAAGTTTCTCAACTTCTGAGAGTTGTCGTTCGTATGGGGGCGACAGCTAATCAACGGAATAAACAGATTTTAAACAGAGACATTTTTAAACAGTATTCTGTGATTTCTCAAAAGCGTTCGAGTGCGTGAACCATGAAACACCATTATTTAAACTTCAGTGCTATGGCTTTAGATGATTTTCATATAACTGGCTTTACAGTTATCTAACAGGCAGGAATCAGTTAGTGAAACTCCAAGGAAATACATGGCATATTGAGAATAAATCATCAGGTGTACCACCAGGTTCGGTTAAAGAGTCCTATTCTTTTTCTGCTTTATCTGAATGATCTGGTAACCATTGACATTAAAGGGGAGTTCACACTTTTTGCGGATGACAGCACGAACCTTTAGCGTGGGACAAATGAAGATAATCTCAGAGACATCATAACTCTGGATCTCTATAGGGTTAAACAGTGGTGCCATTCAAACTCCTTATGTTTCGGCACAAATAAAACAAATATAGTTTGCTTCAAACTCAACTTTTACGACTTATTTATAGAAAATCACGCTATAGTTAACAAAACTTACCCAAACATTTTAGGGGTATTTATAGATGATAAATTAAAATTTGATGAGCATATAACAAATTTATGCAAAAAAATAGCATCTGGCTGCTATGCAGTTCGGGTTATTTCTAACGAACTCAATCAATCCTCAGCCTGAAATGTGTATTTTTCCTTGATAGATTCGCACTTGAGATATGGAATTGCCTTTTGGGGCTTTTGTAGTCACCAACTACTAAATTCAGCATTCTTTCTATAAAAAAGGGCTGTCAGATATATATGTAGGACAAAATCATAAAACCAATGCAAACCACTTTTCATCAGTCAGAAATATCTTACTGTACCTTGTTTATTACTTTTAGAAACCGTTTGCCTAATTCACAAAAATACTCCAACTCAGCAGCAAATAATGACAGATGTTACCACACGAGAGGAAGTCAGATTTTACTTTTGCCAATCCCAAAATCAACAATAACAAAATTTTCTTTGATATATGAGAGCAAGAAAATATACACCACCTTCTAATGTGCTATAGGCCAATATCAAATTTGAAAAAATCAGAAAATTAGTTAAAGGAGTACTTCTGCAAAGAGTCTACTATGACTTAAAGGAATAATACGATGATGTATTTTAACTCTCAGTATTTCAGATATACACTGTGTCCGTAAAGTATGGAACAAATTCATTTTTAGCTAAACAGGTCATTTTAAGAAATAATCCTGAAATACGTTGATTTTTTATGTTAATAAAATTAAAATAATTACGTTCGAGTAATGACGTCACCGTCATTTTTTTTAAATGGAACACCCCCATTTTGTCTCAATTTTCGGATTACTCTAGCTGAGCTGATTCCAAAAATGTATCACATGTTGATTCCAATTGGTACAGGGTGGACAAAAATACAGTAGTTGTGTGTGTGCTAATAAAGTAACGCGTAACATTCTTTATTAGGTAAATTAACAATATTATCAAAAATACTTATTGTCTAGCGG